AACCGCACAAGTGCGGGACATTGCTAATGTCTCAAAAGCAGTGGCTCGCGGTGATCTAAGTAAAAAAATTACAGTTGACGTAAAAGGAGAGATATGGGATCTTAAGAATACAATAAATACTATGGTTGATCAATTACAAACTTTTGCTACTGAAGTAACACGAGTATCCTTAGAGGTTGGTACCGAAGGAAAACTTGGTGGGCAAGCTGTAGTTAAAGATGTACAGGGCACATGGAAAGTTCTAACAGATAACGTAAATATTATGGCTGCTAATTTAACCACACAAGTTCGATCCATAGCGGAAGTCACGACGGCCGTGGCTTGTGGTGACTTAAGTAAAAAGATTAGCGTAGACGTGAAGGGCGAAATACTTGAATTAAAAAATACGGTTAATTCCATGGTAGATCAACTTCGTATGTTTGCTGCAGAAGTAACGCGTGTGGCACGTGAAGTAGGTACTGAAGGTATTCTTGGTGTCCAAGCACACGTCAAGGATGTTGGGGGGACATGGAAAGAACTAACAGACAACGTTAATACTATGGCTTCTAATTTAACGGCGCAAGTGCGTGATATTGCAAATGTCTGTAAAAGCGTAGCCTGCGGTGATCTTAGCAAGAAAATTACTGTAAATGTCAAAGGAGAAATCTTGGATTTGAAGAACACTATAAATACTATGGTGGATCAGGTAACTTTAAATTTTGTTTCTGCGTTTTTTTTTTTTTTTTTTAAAAAAAAAAAAGATTTAAAAATAGGAATTAAATCTTTTCGTAATTACATATTATTAGTTGTCTACATTTGCTGCCGAAGTCACACGTGTGGCTCGTGAAGTCGGTACGGAAGGAAAACTAGGAGTCCAAGCACAAGTAAAAGATGTTCGAGGTACTTGGAAAGAGATCACATCCAACGTCAATACTATGGCTGCAAACTTAACTTCTCAAGTCCGTGCGTTCGCCCAGATATCCGCTGCAGCGACAGATGGTGATTTCACTCAATTTATTACTGTTGATGCTTCAGGTGAAATGGATTCCCTCAAAACAAAGATCAATCAGATGGTTTACAATTTAAGGGAAAGTATTCAAAAGAATACTGCTGCGAGAGAAGCCGCAGAATTGGCTAACAGGAGCAAGAGTGAATTTTTAGCAAACATGTCACACGAGGTAAATTTATTTTCTATTCGTTTTTTTAGTATTTCACATGAGGTAAATTTATTATCCACTTGTTTTTAAGCATTACTATAACCGAAAAACTTTTTTATGCGAATTAATTTCAAATACAGATTCGAACACCTATGAATGGCATTATCGGGATGACAACGTTAACTTTGGAAACCGAATTGACAAGGCAACAACGTGAAAACCTAATGATTGTTAGTTCGCTAGCCAATTCATTGCTGACCATTATCGACGACATTCTAGATATTTCAAAGAGTAAGTTGATAAACAATCAGAAATCAAAGTTAACTAATTTATAAATTGTCAAGCTTTACTGAAGATATTGATATACATATATTTGATGTAAACTCGGGAATCTAATGAATAAAGCTACAAATTATAAAAGATGGTTCTTCAATTACAATATTATTAATTACAATTGCTTTGACCTCGTTAAAAACAGTCGAGGCCGGACGTATGACCATTGAACAAATTCCATTTTCACTTCGGTCTGCTGTGTTTGGAGTTCTTAAAACGCTTGCTGTAAAGGCGAACCAAAAGAAATTGGCTCTAATTTATGATGTTGACAATGGTATACCTGACCAACTTATTGGGGATCCATTGCGTCTAAGACAAGTCATAACAAACCTTATCGGAAATGCTATAAAGTTCACCACCGAAGGGGAGGTCGTTCTCTCAGTACACTCTAGATGTATGAGTGATCATGTCGTCTTGGAATTTTGTGTTAGTGACACTGGTATAGGTATTCAAGCAGATAAGATTGATGTGATATTTGACACCTTCTGCCAGGCTGACGGTTCAACAACAAGAAAATATGGTGGTACTGGTCTAGGACTTTCAATATCAAAACGTCTTGTATCTTTAATGGGTGGTAATTTGTGGGTAAAGAGCGTATACGGGCACGGGTCCGAATTCTTTTTCACAGTTAAGGTAACTTTGGGTACAATGAGCCAAGACCAGATAGTTCAAAAAATGGCTCCTTGGCATGGTCGACATATCTTGTTTATCGATACCTTGCGCGATGAAACTGGTGTCGTCAGTATAATCGAGGATCTAGGTCTTCGACCAAAAATTGCTAGTTCAGTAGAGGAGTCTGCGATAATAACGGCTTCTCGCAAATCAGATACCCCCTTATTCGATACAGTGATTGTTGATGATTTAACTATCGTTGAAAGGTTAAGAGAGATTGCACATTTAAGATACACTCCTATAGTTCTCTTGGCTCAAATGATACCTAAATTAAACATGAAGAATTGTATAGATCTTGGCATTACATCGTATAGTAGCACACCATCGAATTTACCTGATTTGGTGAATGCTTTGTTACCAGCGCTTGAATCTCATGCAGCAGTTCCAAGTGATTTTGCAAGGCAACAACCATTAGACATTTTAATGGCCGAAGACAATATCGTAAATCAAAAGTTGGCGGTTAAAATATTAGAGAAGTTTGGTCACAGGGTTGAAATAGTGTCAAATGGTCAATTAGCCGTTGAGGCTTTCAAGGCAAAACGATATGATCTTGTAAGTTTGATTTTTTATTTGTCACTTTTTATTTCACGACAAAAAAGTATAAATTATTAAATTTTATGTAGATATTGATGGACGTACAAATGCCTATAATGGGTGGATTCGAAGCCACACAGAAAATACGTGAATTTGAACAAGAAACTGGTGGACATGTTCCTATAATTGCCTTAACGGCACATGCAATGATAGGAGATCGTGAGAAATGTCTTTTCGCGGGAATGGACGAATATGTTACAAAACCATTAAGTATGTATTAATTTAAATCTTTATTTGTGCTGATGTAACAATTTTTATTAATTTGCTTGAAATTTTATTAGGAATGACCGATCTTATTGCTACAATAAATAAATTTCCAGTAAAAAATATCATAGAAGAAACACCGATGCCCGAAGAGCCTCAAGTATGTAAATAACATGAATGATAATATTTCATATCATTCAAACACAATACCATTCTAATACTTCTATATTGTGGTGTATGTAGGATTCCATACTCCCGATATAACTTTTAATTATATATATATATATATTATAATTATTATTTTTTTTTTTTTTTTAAAAAAAAAATCATATTTATTTGATGGAAATTAGTTGGAGGGATTTTTTATATTGGGACTATGAAAAAAAAAAAAATTAGAATTTTAGTTACATAATCTTTTTTTTAATATTTTTGTTACATTCATAACAATGTACTTTTTGTACTTTATAGTAAGGATTTTATTATTAAACATTTTATCTTCAAAATGTGTAACCTTTGTTGTATATTTATTTTTGGGCTTTCACTCTTATATGTATTTAATCATTAAAAGAATTCATTTTCAAATTTAAAGTGCTATGATTGGCAAACATTCAAATAAAATGTCAACTTTGTGTAATATAAATATAATATACCATTTTTTGTATTTTTTTTTTTTTGACATGAAATGAAAGAAGACCAAAAAAAGGATCGCTTGAAAAAGAAGTGGGTTAAAAAGTATAACGAGCAAAAAAAAAAAAAAAAAACTTTGTAAATGGATAAATGGGAATCCCCCTGAATACTTATTTTCACAGTGTTTAGAATCTAACATTGATTGTGATTAACATGTTATGGCTGAAAAAAACTTATTGCATAGTCCCAATTAGGTTGATACTAAAAAAAAATTTTTTTTTTTTCTTTTTTAGTGGTCATGCATCAAAGTTTCATCAATATAAATCATGTGATCGAGATTGTTCTCGTGAGCTGATCAATCGGAACCGAGTCAAGGTTACTTCCAAATACGTATAAAAAGAGGCGTCAATAATAAATTAAGAAATAAGGTTGCTACGGGTCTATGAACCCAAATCAGGAAAAAATTGAACGCCAAAAATGAAAATTCGGTTTTCGATAAACTTTTTATCGTGAAAGAAAAAAGAAAAAGTGATTAAACAATAGAAGAAAATTTGGATAATGTAAAAATATGAATTGTACTTTATTTTCAATGTGATCCTTTTTTTTCCTGTTTGATTTTCGGAAAATTTGAATGACCCATTTGATGAGCGGAACTTATCATATACATATATATATATATATATTAAAATAAAAAGTGGCTTCATCTCTTGTCACGATGACGTTAATTTAATCCGTGATACTTGACAAAGTACAATGAACGTCTATTTCAAACGATGACCCAACTTTGGACCCGCATCTTTCACTCCGAAAACAGAAACTTTTTTTTACCATGTTGCATAAACATCTACACAAGCTTTTGTTTGAAGAAACATCAAATTTTTCTTTTTGAACTTTAATTTTTCACACGAAACACGAAAAAAAAAAAAAAAAAAAAAAAATAGAGAAGCATTTCACAAGTAAAACTAAAAGAATGAATAAATAGAGATCTTCCAATCACAAGACAATCTTTAGTTATTGTTGACGGTAATACCAAATACACTAATGATATCATAGATTTGTTTATCCGACCAAGTTTAGAAGATTGATGAGGGAATTTGTGATTGGTGTTCCGTTGAAACTAATGAATAGAAAATTTCATAAAGCGCGCCCATTAAGATTTCTTTTTAAATATTTTTTTATTTTTGTTAAAATCATATTTCTTCAGATCAATCGGATATGAATTGGAAAGAGTTCATTTAATCTGCAAACAAAAGACATTTCGACATATGAACAGGAACATGAAGTTATACATACATAAGGTGATCATCTACATAATAGCATACGCATTAATTGTTGTGATATTAAACATTGTGATGTGATATTAACGATGTTGTGATGAAGGTGACATGTGACATTACATGCCAATTGTCAAAGGAAATCGTGTCACCGCATGCATCAATGCAAAGGCGTGACAAGTAACCTCATCTTTGACTTTAGGTATTTCAGTAAGTTCCCATTTTCTTCGTCACACAAACTTTGTATCTCGGCCTTATATCCAATATACAACATACGACAAATTTCGACTCTAAAAATAAAAAAAATAAAAATGATTTAACTTTATAAATAATACTGCATATATATATTATATAAAATCCAGTCTACCTCCATTTGACTTGAAGATAATCGCGCTGAAGTAAATGGTACGCCTTCTTTCTATCAGCTGTAGTGATTCTGATTAACGAACTTCTCGGAATCCTATATCTATTGAATGAATGTTTATGTTAAATAATATTTCATCGCGTGAAAAAGTCCCAGGAGAACCTTGATAATTTACTTTTTTCGGTCTGAATAGCGCAATCCGAGCCATTTTATACTAGGGGTTGCCAAATTTTCATTATCAAATGATTTGGCCTACATCATTATAAATAAAATATTTAATTATTTGAAATTCAGTTGAACGCAATTTGGTAATATTATAAAGTCATATTAACCGAAGATCCAAATTTATAGACGCAAAGGATTTCTATTCCTAAAGACAAAAAGCAAAACAAATGATTAAGAATTTACGATCAAAGCATTGTTACTTAAATATATTCGTTACCGTATGGATCGTTATCGAAAAATCCCAATATTTGTAGAAATGGGTACGTTTCATACGGTCTTCGTAGGTCACCCAATTTTTTAACCAATTGGCGCGTGGCAATATCCTAGGATATAAATGCATGAAAAGTTTCATTGTAGAGCTAATACTTGCACAATTTCGAACTTGTAAAATGTTACAAACCGGATACCCTTTTCCCTTTTAACCGAAAAAAAAAAAATAAAATAATGATTAATCAGTTGTTTTTTATTTCGAAAAAATAAATGTTGTAAATCAATCTTTTTACGCACGGTAATTAAAATGCAGGGTCCTAATTGTTTGTACATTCTACTCGATAATAAATATCGAAATGTAGCCTAAATATATTAAAAATAAAATTTAAGCAAAAAGAAAAGATCTTACAAAAAAATGAAACTGAAATGAAATACATTTTACCTCTTTCTCTATGACCAAGACGAATTTCGCATTGGTTTCAATTCGTTTTATGGATCGTTAAGAAAAAAAATTTAATAAACAAAAAGAATGACAATATTACAATATTTAAAGGATATTATCAATTAGATCCATATTTGGGATAAGCATTCCCTAATGAAACGAAACGTAAGCTTTTTTTTTCGTGTTAAAAGTGTTATTTCTTCCAACAATGGCAATTACCTGATCATTGGTCGGTAAACAATCCAATACGATTCTATCGTTTTGAAACAATTTCAAAGAACCAGCCACTAATCCTTTAGAAGAAGCAATCTTGTGAGAGAAAAAGTTATTGTTAGTTTTCAGTAAACGCGATAAAGTCATGCTTCTTAAATTACTTACAACATTTAAACAGGACCTTGGAATTCGAAAAAGGCACGCCAATTCATCTATTATCTAGAACAAAAAAAAAAAAAAAAAAAAATAGTACGTGACATTCATTATATTTTATTTTAGCCAACATCCTTACCAGATCAACGGTTTGCGGATTACCGAATAATTTAACATCTTTATAATAAATATCACGTTTGGTAGCAGTTGCATTCTGAACTAAAAGTTCGTGACAAATATCAAGGATACGAATCATGATGGCAAAGGTTTTCGAAGTTTTTGGTGATAAAAATCGAATTTGTTTATTACTCAGATCATTATTTTTTCTTCGTAAAATGCCACTTTTGGAATCATATCTATGTTTATATAAGAATTAGAAATTATTCTTGAACACGTAAATACTTGTATGAATCAATCACCTAGAATGATATTCTTTTCGTTTCTTATTTGACACGGAATTGATTACGGGAGGACGTTTATTTGCGATATCAAATAATAAAGTTTCAATCATTGATTCAATCTTTTGAATTACCCATTCTCTTATTCATCATATAAGATTTAATTTGTAGGTGTAAAAAAAAATAAAAGAATATTATAATTTATAGAAAGAAGTTTTATATACTTTGGTCTAAATGTGGTTTCCAAGAATTCATTGTTTACCAGCTCTTCTCTTTGATTTTCCATTCTGTTACTAAAAAGAGAAAATGTGCGATAAAAATTCGTACATCATTGAAAAGTACGCGTTTTTATGCTTATCAAAAACATTAGCAAAAGGAATGGTTGAAAGCTTAAGCAAAGTTTATGTCTCGGTCAATGCGTTATATGATCAGCGCATGTGCATTTCAAATAGATTCAAAAAGTATATATATTTTAATATCTTTATATCATATAACGTAACATTTATATGATTGCACACAAGTTTAATATTATATCATCAGCAGAACAAAAAAGTAATTTTTTTTTTGCCACATGGTTGATTTGAAAATTACATAAATACGTTTGATATTTGATTATCCAATTTCAATATTATTTTTAAACGTGATATTCGAGAATATAACCCTTTGAATGTGTACATGATAACTTCATCGCTTCTTTTCCCGCTTCGCAAGTTGACTTGGAATGCTGTTGTTGAATTTCAATTTTGGCGGTTCAAATTTCAGGGGGGAAGATCAGCGTAAATGCTCGATTTGCCCCCTGAATCCATCTAAAAGATATGCAATGATCAGAAAATATCTCACATGCATTTCAATAAAGTTTATGTTGTTTTATTAGTTGAAATGATTATTTGTTTTACAATTAATGAGAGCATCAAACAATGGAGAATATAAATGGTATTGTTAATGTTTTTTAAATAAAACTATATAAAAGGAATTTCATGAAAAAAAAAAAAAAAATTTCGATTTTAAAAAAAAATTTTTTTTTTTTTTGTATTTTTATTGTGGCAATGCCTCCACTATTTCCATCATTTGATGATGAGAAATTACAATTATATTACCCCGACTACTTACAATTGAAATTAGTTCAAATAATTCACAGACACGGTAAGGATTTAATTAAATGATATATATATATATATATTTTTTTATTATTAAAAAATCATTAATTCTTTTGAAATTAAATAGGCGAACGTACACCAATTAAATCACGTCTAGAAAAATTTATACCACCAATATGGAATTTATGTCAAACGACAAAAGAATTGACTACAAGAATTTTATCATTCGACAAATTGGAAAAGATTGATTATAGAATGATAGTGGATATGAATTCTCATTTTGCACGTTCCTTGCCTTTGTCTCCTCCCGGATCATGGTATCTATACACGCATTCACGTGACATTTATGCGTCTTGAATTAGATTTCAAATGTTTCTGCTCTGTTTTAGCTTGTTTGGACAATTGACCGATGTCGGTCGTAAATCAATGTCTGAATTAGGTTCAAATCTTCGATCTTTATACGTTGATAAGTTAAAATTCCTGGATGAAACATTATCAAATAACAAATCACTTCACTTACGTTCAACCAATTATACAAGAACAATTGAATCATTACAACAACTAGTGGTTGGAGGTTTATATCCTTCAAAATTTAGAAATGATTCATTGATATTAGATATTCATACTAGGTATCTTATTGGATTTATAAATACTTTTCTTGATGTTATATATCTTCTCTAATAATGAAATCTTTTTAAACAGGGATATATTAAATGAAACTTTAGTTCCAAATTATAAATGTGCTCGTTTGATGAAATTAACCAAACAATTTAACGAAGCTTCAAAATCACTTTACAAATCCGAATTAGAATATTTAACAACTCAATTGAAATCCATAGTAAAAGAAGTGGCTATCGATTCTAAACCTTCTTGTAATGGAATATATGATACCGTGATTTCTGCAAAGGCAAACGGAATTCCCGTTCCAAAAGAATTCACTGATGATATCATTGACAAAATGGATAATGTAACTACCGGTCAATGGTTTGACGGGTAACGTATGAAACGAATTTACTTTTCCAATTCCGACCAAATTGACCAACCTTTTCCAAACTTTTCCTTCTAATTAGATATCAAGAAACCTCAGAAATGAGGAGGTTGGCGATGGGTCCTTTCCTCATCGATTTACGGGACATTATACTCTCAAAAGTCAATAATAAATCTGAAACGAAAGATTTGAAGTTTGCAGTATTTAGTTGTCATGACTCATCGATGGTCCCTTTATTAACGATATTCAGTGGATTCGATCATAGGTGGCCAAAATTTAATACACATATTACTTTTGAATTATTTGAATCAAATGAAAAATCTTGGGTTTATAAATTATTTTCTTCGGCTAATGACAATCATTATATTCGTATAAGATGTAATGATAAGATTTTAGTATTACCTGAATGTCAAAAGGATGATCAACATCATCCTAACGATAAATCTTTATGTACTTTAAACGCTTTTTTGAGTTTGGTCGATTCTTACATTCCAAAAAATTATATTCAAGAATGTTCTGATGATTAATTTATGTAATCTTAAATTCTAATCTTCTTTTCCGGCCTAATCTTATTACCTTGACTTTTATTCTTCTAAGTCAATTAAAAAATTAATTATAATAAACAATATTTAAAAAATAAAATAAAATAAAAATAAAATAAATAAACCAATATGTATGTATGCAGCACACTAACCTTTTTCCTCTTATCTACATTAACATTGTCTTCAACGACTTTATTCTTATCATTTTTATTGCTTAATCTTCCTGATCTCTTTTTAACAATGATAGAATTCTCTACCGCAAATTCTACGATTAATCTTTTCCGTTCTCCGAATAATTCCGGATTATTATTAAGATGTCTTAATGCTGCCAATGCATGTGCGTGCTGTGTGAATTCCAAAAATCCATATCCTTTGCTACGTGGTTTTTGTGTGGTTTTATCGATTCTATCTTTGGCTCGAATTACTTTAGCCTGCTTAACATCTACCTTTCTATTCCACCCTTCCATTTTCTCGCTTTCTGTTAAATCTTTTCTCTCTTCATTCTCAACCTCTTCTTTAAACTTTTTAACACTTTCTTTTCCTAATTTTTTTAAGGTACTTTCATCTACTGTTAATGGTAGATTCCTTACTGACAATCTGGTTTTTGAAATATAAAGGTTTGGGTTTTTTGCCAACAAATTCTTTCTAAAAGAATATGATGTGACACGTTTATTAACTTCCGAAGGCGTTAATAATTTAGCGGATAATGAATCCGGAAATATTACTCCTTCCTGTAGCAAATAAATATTCCTTCTATCCTCTTTACGTCTTCTTTGTTGATTCATTTCCATTATATTATGTGCTTCGTTTCGATCAACTGCTTTTACGATTGATAGTACTCTTCCACGTAATGTAAATTTACAAGCTAATGAATCTGATGGATCTGCCGTAAGGACGGATTTAAATATTAATTCTTTTCGTTTCTTTTTCTTGTCATTTGTTTCTCGTTCATTAAATATCTCTTGATTTATTTTTCTCGCTTCAGCCAAGCACATTTCTGCATGTTCTTTTTGTTTGAAACAAACAAATCCCGTGCCACGCGAACGTCCTGTCTGATGATCCATCGTTATGACACAATAACGCAAAGGTCCAAATGGTTTAAATCTAAATCAAAACTTTATTAATTTCATTTTAACCTTTGCAAGAATGTCAGAATGTAGAAATGTGCAAAACGTACATCTCGGAAAGCTCTTCTTCTGTGGCATCAAAAGAAAGATTTCGAATAAATAATACATTTCCCTCCGAAGGAGGATACAAGCTCTTTGGTGTCTTGTCCTGAATCTCTATATCATCGCTTTCTCTTTCACTTGCGCTTTCCACACTTTCGTTCTCAGCTTCTTCCTCATCCTCCTCATCTTCGTCTTCATTGAGAATATGATTTTCATTAGGTACGCCATCATCGTTCTCAATTTCCGATTCGTCACTATTATCTTGTACTTCCTCATCACCACTTTCATTTATAATATCATCTTCATCTCGTTTCATTTCATCGTCACTTTTACTATCACCATTATCATTATCTTCCTGATCATCAACCTCTTTTTCAGAACCTTGCTCTAAATCTTGCTGTATAGTCTCTTCATTATAATTCTCACTTTGCTGCGATCCAATGGCCTCCAAGTATTTGTCCTTTGGTAAAGCCCAATCCACAGCTATAGTACGTCCTTGATGTTTCGTTTCATTCAAACCGTTAATAGCCTGTAAACAAGATACGATTTTATGAATGAGAATTCCATATTATAATTATATATATAATACAAAATCAATACCTTTTCCGCATCTTCATAATTTTTATATTGTATATACGCAAATCCCCGTAACGGACCTCCTGTGAATTTACGCGGCAAATTTACTTCTATTATTTCTCCATATTTGGAGAAAATTTTTAAAAGTTCTTGTTCACGATACTATTAATAGCATTTATAAAATAGTATAGTAAATATTTTTTTTATTTTAAAAAAAAAAAAAAAATTGAATACTACAACATACTTGCCATGGGATGTTACGAACTATTAAACGACCTTTTTTATCATTCGAAGATGCATTCCATAATTTCGCGTTCATCATTGATCCATGAAAGACATGACCATCCAAGTGTGATAATGCATCATTAGCATCCTTTGTTGTTTTAAAAATGACGTGTACTAACATACAAAAAAAAAAAAAAATTAAATAAATAAATAATTTTCAAATAATTAACGATCACTCTCAGATAATAAATCAACTAACCGATATCAGTAGAATCTTCACCATTAGGAAATTTCATATCTTGAATATCGCCAAATTTTCTAACTTTTTTATAAATTTTTTTCCTAGTTAAATCTTTAGCTAACCCTTTTAATACAATGGTTCTAACATTATTATTGTCAACTTTTTCAATGAATCCTTTTGATTCTTTTTTTACTAATTTCTTTTTGCTAATATTTTCATCCAACGAGAATTTTCTTTTTATGACTTTTTGATTATGCTCAGGAAGCTTTTCATGTTTTTTAATAGCATATTCCATTTTCAAGGTACTTTTCCCTCTAAATTTCACTTTCTTTAATTCTTTTAAAGCCTTTTCAGCATCTTGAGTCAGGACAAATTGGACAAAACCAAAACCCTTATTTTTGTCATTCTTTTGTATTTCTTGTGTAGGAACCATCTCTTTATTATCGTTAATAGGAGAAACGATCGAATCATCATGATTAATCGAATTGTCTGCTAAAGGAACATTGGGTTCTTTATCTTTTACAAGAAAACAAGATCGAAGTGGTCCTATTTCAGAAAAAAAGGTTTCGAATTCACTATTTGTGGCATCATAAGGTATCCTGCGAACGAACAACGTGGTTTTACTATATAATAAATTATTTGAACTAGGTTCCTTTTGTTCGCTATTTGAGGGTTTCTCTTCAACCTCTGCCATGCTTAAAGGTTTTCTTGGTTTTTTTTTTTAAAAAAAATTTTTTTTTTTTCATCAGTTCATCGGTTTGGTTATCACGTGATTGGTGATCATTGTTGAATGAATAAATTGACGCGTTTTTTTTTAAAAAAATAACTTTACTCCTTTACATTTTACTTTTGAAATAATATTAAAAATAATATCAACCCACGAAAAATCAAGCAAAATAAAAAATATGGAATCAAGTGATAGAACAACATTTCAAAAACAACGAGACAACCTAATAAATGACATTGTCGGGGTAATGATTTGAGAAATAAATTTTTTTACAAGTACTTATTAGACATAAATAGCTGAATGAACGTATTGATAAAATTTTGGTTAGGTATTGGAACAAGTGATCAACAATATGGCCATACTTAACAAGAATCTTGAGAGTATAGTCGCAGTTGGGAAAGATTTTGAAAACGTCGCTACACCTTGGAAAAATTTTCATGACGCTATAATTGCCGGCGCTTTGGATGCTGATCTAAAGGATGATAATCCTATCACAGGTATATTGGATTAGTCCATGTTCAAAATCAGTCTTTAAAAACCACAAACTCTTATTTTTTTTTTAAAACAAATGTTCATATTACAGAATAAAGATCCTCCCGGATTTGAAGTTTTTATTTTATTATTGTATGAGATAAAACAAAAGTGTAATAATACCTTAGTATATCGAAAGTATTTTATGCATGAATTTATATAAAAATTAAATTTTTTATTTATCTATTATCTATATATATGAATTTATTTTTCAAATTAAGTTATTATAACTGACCATCGCAAATTCGGTAATTTCTTCTTCAGTGTAGGCAAAATGGTTGTTGGTTGTACATTTGCGTTATTTTATAGCAAGATATGACCAATAATATTCTTTGATCGTGTTCTCTATTTTTTAAAATACAAATTTGGCTAGCAACATTGTATAAAGTTCAACATTTTAATCAATTCGAAATGATCATTTCTCAAGCAAATTCGATAATATTGGTAAATTATTACAAAAAAAAAAAATCGAGTACCTTGCCTCACTAAAACTTTGTTATGGCTACAGCCGGTCTACCAATTTATAGAGGATTACCAAGCTCTTGTTTGGTTAAGCAAGTCAAGGAATGCAACATCAGTGACACTATGGGAGATAGAATAATAGGAAGGCATCACCTCCAAGCGAAATTTTTCCTATATTTTTAATAAAAGCTGTATATTAAAACAACTCATCATCAAACTATATTACATTTCTGGAAGCAGGTAAAGTGTAAAGCTGCTGAAGTACACTCAGCAACGAAGATTTCATTTAGAACTATCTATAATAACCTAAAAAAAAATAAAAAAAAATACTGGAGATGTAAAAAATAAAGGTGGTAGTGTCGTATTAAGAAAATAACCCAAATACATCCCGTACTATTGGACAATATATTCGAAGGCAACCTTCAATTTCTGCAACTTCTGTTGCTATTATAGATTTCTCCCGCTCAACAGTTTCGATCGAGACATTTGATCAACCTTGGATATCGAAATGCACTCCCAATGATTACATCAAGTTCATAAAAAGAAACGTGTTTAATGGGTCCGAACATAAGGATAGATTGGAAAAAAACTTTATTTAGTGATGAAACATCTTTCAATTATTCCGTAATACAATAAAGCATTGGTATAAAAATGCAAGATCAATTCGTCGAATACCAAAAGATAAAGTAAAATATTCGCATGGGGTTTTTTTAGTGTAAAAGGCTCTTCTGTTTTAGGCGTATAATGGATGGAAAATTTTACACATAAATATTGGAAAAGAAGTGCGCAGTATGTTACGAGGTAAATGGCGGCTACAGCAAGACAAGCATACTAAGGATTTTCTTAATATCATGTTCCGGAGGTTAAGGATTGGCCTTCTAATAGTCCAGACCTAAACCTTTGAGCAATTGTTAAAAGAAACGTGTGAATTAAAGAGTTTTTGGGGAGTGGGAAAAAAATTCCAGATAGCCTTCTAATTAATTCAATGCCACAGCGTTTTAGGGAGATTATGGGTGAAAGAATACCATATTAATTTTTTTTTAATAATTTTTTTTTTTTTTTTTTTTTTTAAGTGCGGTAGTTTCGCATAATCTTTATTAAATTCAAAGAACATGTAAACAAAGTAAACAGAATACAAATTTAAGAAAATACGAAAATTCTCTATCTAATCTAAACTAAATTAAGACCGACCCCTGCACTTTCCATTTTTTTTTAATTAAATATACTCTGTTTTCGGTTTTAAAATAATGTATTGTTCAGTTAATTGGTGTAACCGTTTTGCAACTAAAAAATTTCCATTGTCTAATATTACAAAACAGGGCAGTAGTAAAAATAAACTATACAAAATCGAGATGAATGCCGTGTAACCGATTTTCTTGATACATCGCTTTATTCTGTGTTCGATTAGGGGACAAAGTCTACCATCCCCTTGTTAATATAATTACCTTATATGATAAATATGTAACCTGCCCGATGTACTATCTCATAGTTAGCTCCATTAATTCTATAAAGCATTTGGAGTATATTTGCAACAGTCAAATGGGAATAAAAAAAAGTCTTTGCGTTCTCTTCTATTTCATATAGAATTCTCTGAAGACTTTAATTTTCAAATATGAAAAAAATTGTGGTCTGTTCAAACCAATAAAATCGTCTCATGATCACGTTAAATCAATTTTAAAAACGTTTTTTAAGATATCGTCAACTGTTGTTAGAGAAAGAACTTTCGAGTTACAAGTCATTGCGAATATTCAGAAATCGGAATTGAGAACGAGTGGAAAGGATTAGTATATCTCACAGAGTTATTTATGGTACGATTGGTGACGCTTTTCTTAACTGTAGACGATGACGATGCTCACGTTTATTTTTAAAGAATTAAGGTGATAGAGGTGTTGACATCAGACGAAAAATGTAAAAACTGGAAACTAAGGATAGGTGTGTCTACGAATTAGAGGGGGTGTTCACCCAACAACCAAGGTATCATGGTAAGTTCTTTCAAAAACGAATTTTCTCCTGGAGCAGCTAGGGTATACGAGATTATCCTCATGGATAAGGAGAATATCTGTAAAAAATCTTATAGACTTCGTCGCTGTTCGACTAAATAGTGATAGATTTACAAATATTTTTTTTTTATTTCTTTTAAAATGATTTCTATTATTTCTTGTATACATAATTCTTTTTCTTGCACATATTTATTTACATCTGTATACTGTATAATATAAATTTTCTTTTTTATTTTTTTTTATTTTTGTTTATGTTTTTCCTTCTTGTTTATATTATATTTTTACTCTTGGTTATCCTGTATTCATTTTCATACATCGAGATGTTTCTTAGCAGAATGTGATGGGGTTATTTTTCTTGCATAGCAATCAGGGAATGCATTTTTGTTTATTTGACAAAAAATATAGATTGTTTCAAATATTAATTGTTCTGAAAATCTTTTGAATCTTTCAAAGGAAATATTTAATCGATGATGTGATTTTGGTGTAAAAATGTTTGGTTGATCCTTTTTTTCCAATATTTGGGGGATTTGCTATTAAAATCGAGTTACGAGTATAGTAAATCATATGATCCTTAACGTGATTTTCATAGCTTACCTCCACATTTGTTTTTGTTATGAAACTCGGCACGGTTACATAAACTTATATCTTTATTACCATAAGTGCTGGTTTCTCTTATTTCTAAGAACTGTCCTCTAACAAATTTTTTTTTTCGTTATTATTTGCTTTAGAATCATTGAACAAAGAAGGGAATTCATCCAAAACAGCAAAGCTTGATTAATACATAAATAATTAATTGGACATTGGCAAAAAAAAAAAAGGACTTAACTTCACCCATATCTGAAATTGAAATATATATTTACAATTTAATAGGATGCATTAATTACGTTTACCAGCATCTACTTGCATGATATTGCATAAATGTCATTTTCCAAATATATATAGCACCTATGGACCGCTCAACTAAATCGTTGTCTAAACCTTCCTAATAATATCAATAAAACACTTCTCTCTTCTGCCTCTTTAAACCGATCGATCATGTCAAAACTCATTTGCACTAACTCAATCGATACTAGTTCTCTCAGTGATTTTCAATATGAAACTTTTAATTGTGAAAAATTTAATAATCATGCTAATAAATGTCAGTCATGCAAGTAGGTACAAGGAAAATCTTTATTTGATTTTTTTTAATCTTTTCCTAAATAAATTATTATTGATTTTTTAAAAGACAAAAATTAGTAGTCGATGGCAAAGACGCAGTGGATGATACATGTCAGATAATCACCATTTTGGCAGAAGGAAGCTCTATCATGTTATAACAAAATTAAAAAAAAGGATTCACCAAAGTTCCGTACATTTTCAAATCTTTACAACAAAAGTAATGATGTTTTTGAATCGTACAAAGCAGCAATTTATCAAGTAGGAGGTGTATCAATCGAATTAGCAGATAAGATAGTTGAATATAAACATGCAAGGAATGATATTACACATAAGTCAAAGTGGAATATTGACCACCCAAAAACTACGGATAAAGAAGCAATGGAACGTATTGAAATGGCAGACAAACACCTAAATATGGACAACGATCTAAAAAAAGGACTTGAAAACGTTTCGAAGTATTTATATAAGAAAAATGTTTAAATTACAAACCTTATTAAATCATTAAACAATTAAAGAAGTATACATAAGCAATTACTATTATTATTTTTTTTTTTTTTAAAAAAAAAAAAAAATTTAATTATAATTCAACTAATTTTTAGAATAGATCTTCCACTTATTAATTTACTTAATTTTAGTTTTTAATTATTTATATGAAAGAGATAATATAAAAATGTTTTTAATTAGTATTCTAATTTTTTAAGTTAATTTTTATTACCACAATTAATATTAAAAGTATAGCTTTTTATAATTAGAGTTATAAAATTTTGATGGAATTTAGCATATCTATTTAAACAATAATGCATTTTTATTGAATTTGGCTAATTTACTTTTCAAAAAATTAATAATTTGTAATATATTAGTATTTCTTTTTTCTTTCCTTGTAAATAATTTTTTTTAAAATAAAGTTAAATCAAGCAAAATTAATTAGTAACATATTATCATGGGTACAAGAAGTGTCTATCGTTGTGACCTTTGTGTTTAACCATTGAATTGAATCGTAGAATATCGCAAGCCTTCACAGGCTATTTCCTCGTCGTCAGGATAATTCTGAGGCATTGCTTACACAACTTAATTTACGAAATATTCCAAATCCCAAGCTTCAGTGATATATCCATTCGCAAACAATGAACAATGAACACATGTCCATTGTATCCATTTGTAGCTTCCATTGTCCATTGTTGTCCATTGATCATCCATAATTTCACAATATAAAAAAGGGGTTGAATTTCTTTCAAAGGGTACATGCGGAAGGAAAAATGCCACATTCATTAACTTTATGGTTTGGAATACTTTTAAATGAATAAAAAGCAAAAAATAACAAGATTCTCTTTGTATTTTTGTTAAATATGTAAGAATCTTTATTAAGTGATGAAAATACCAATACTCAAAATTTTTTAACTGGACAAGAACCGGATAATTCGCAAATATAATTGAACAATCCCTAAAAAAACGACAATTTATTGGTAATATAAAAATTTTTTAAATTTTCGTTTTATTTTAATTATATTAAATTTATAAATACTCATTATTAATTTAGAAATTGAAGATGAGTCAATTAAGAATTAAATCATTAAAGAAAATGAGGTTAAAAATAATACATATGAAAATTGTTTTATTATGAAGAAATATTTAATGGTAGCGATATTGAATTACAAATAATAAGTGAAACACAATGTTTAGGAGAAAGAGTAATTGAAGAAATTAATTTAATATATTCCGATGGTAATGACGATCAAAAAATTAGAAGTATAATTTAGAATTTCCTTTAATGAATATATTAATTTCGTTTTATCGACTTGAAAAAAGTAAATTTCAAAAGATATTAAAGATATAAACAAACAAAATTACTAATAATGGGACACATTTTCTATTTCAATTGCTTAGCCAATGGACAATGGAAAGCATTTTTTGTCCAGTTTCCATTGTCAATAGATGACAACGCTGCCGTAATCGTAGAATTCTTTCGGTTAAATTTTTGAAAATTTTACGAGTAATTTTTTATCACGTGAAAAGTCCTGAAAATCTTTACAATAATAAAAATTTTTCATAATTGAAAATCTCATAATGATTGATTATCTGTACCAATGAACAAACTAATACAATACGTTAAAAATGATAAAACCCAATGTGAAAAAAAAATAAACGATTTATTATTGCGAAATTGATAAAAACGAAACTATTTACCTGATTCATATTTTGAAATTTTACCATATGAGGTTTGATCGCTCGATACATTCCGATAGTGAAAATGCGCGTACATCCAAATGTAATGTAAGAACGAGGTTTAATCATCTGCAGTTTTAAGAAATAACGTTTTATTGCTCATTATAACGGAAATAATAAATTTTATATATTATTTATTTATTTATTATTTATTTATTTATTTGTTTATTTTTATTTTTTTAAAAAAAATATAAATGCATTCGTTGTTATAACTTGGTGTATGAAAAATTACGCTTCTCACGTTCAAAATTAGATCATAAATATGACTGCTTTCTGGACGTGTAACTGTGGGGAAATTAAAGTTTTGATAAGCGATCACTGTATCGGAATTGTTTTTTTCAGCAAAAACGTGATTGGTTAGAGTAATAATGGAACGAGAATTTCCTCATATAACACACCAAAACGATTCCAACAAAAATTGAATCGAATCTTTCTAGAGTATATAATTGATAAAGTCGACAGATTTTATAAAGCATTATAAATTATAATAATCAAATGTTTCAAAATAACGATAATCGTCCTGGGAACAGTGAAAATCCTGGTGACAAAATGGGAATATACTAGTTCCAAAGTCATATGAAGATGGATGCGCATCTGTTTTTCGATGATTAAATCTTGATCTAAATGCATTAAGTTTAATGAAAGATCATTATGATCACGAGCGCTCCAGACCCAGATCTGAATCAGGATGTGCGCGGGTCTGCGTAATGCGATATAAAGGTCCGCGAGAAAAGTTTGGAATGGTATATCACTTAAAGTTTATACAGATGTTGCCGAAATTAAACCATATTAAAGGTATAGTCTTAATGATTATCAAAATCCGAAAAAAAAGTATCAAAGAAAAATTTTATTAGTTTTTTTTTTTTTTTAGATAAACAGATTAACTATCCATTTTCTTACTTTTTTTTTTTTTTTTAAAAAAAAATAATTTTGACTAGCTTCCCCAAAAAAAAATATTTGTCAAATAATCTACTTCTTATAAGACTAGTTAAATTTCTTAAACAATTAACTGTTTAACAACTCAAAATGAGATTCACATTACATTATCACATGATTAATTCTAATATACCGACTTATTGGTCATCCAATCAATCACAAGTTGCTTTCGCGTAAACAAATCACATAATAATATAGGTTGATAGAACATGATTTTTTTTTGTTCGCGTACCTTCAAATCTACACTTTTTAACTTTTTTCGAGTGAGCAAACATATTTGTACAAGAGTTACACAAAAGTAGTATGAAATTACTTACCAAATAAAGTCAATTATAGTGTCACGTTAACATCTCCTCAAATCAACAACTCTCTTTCCTAAGGGAGAGTAATTCCAGTTATTCTGGCCCAAAAGCAAGTGTAAATCTCCATTTTTTACCAAGCTTACCAAGCCCCGACTAAAAAATTATTTTAGCCACAAATATCCACTCAAATTATAATAACCGCTTCTCGAAATTATTACTAAAATAGGTTCTCTTTAAAACTTGGAGGAAAAAAAAAAAAAAACTTTTAATCTCGTGTAGTTATCGCTTTTGAACGAAGGAATTATTAATATATGCTGTAATGTCGTCTCAACCTACCTCACAAGTTTCAAACTCCAACAGTAAAACCACTTCTTCTGCGGCAACCTCCTCCAGACAGCAAGTCAGCAACAGTAGAGGGAACCCTCAATTGCAGGAGGAATGGGTAAGGTCTCATTTTTAATATGTTGAATTGAGATCTATTGAAAGCAGTGGGCTACTTTCTCCAGTGTATAGAAAACAACATTTATTATTATTTTTTTTTTTTAAAAAAAAAAAAAAAACGAATTTATTTACTTTTTGAATTACAATTCTGTTCTTAAAGTGTGACGAAGACGGAGAGTTCGAGCTTGAAGAGGATGATATAAATCAAACCGAACAATCTATTGATGCAAAGCAAGGATCTTCTGGATCAATTGAACAAAATGTTGATGATAATGAGGGTGATAATACTTTTTCGAATCAAAAAAAGTCTCTCATAGACTATAACAGTTCGTATAAAGCAGACGATGTTAAATCACCAAATAACCAAGTTAGTTCATCACCATCTTTATTACAAAATGCCGATGGTACGTTTTCTTCTATAGATCTATTTCCTATAGTTTTTTAATATAGCTAGATCACATAATTATGTTATTTATCAAAAAAAAAAAAAAATAAAAAAAAACTATATAAATTGTACAATTTAAAAAATATCATCAGCAAATGAAAATGATAATTTCCGGAAAACTAAATATGGTCGTAAAGTTCAAAGGCCAGTTTTGTTTACCCCAGAGACTAAGAAATCACAATCCGACACTAAAAAAAGATCATCAACTAACAAATCATCTGGTATAGTAACTCTCGCATGTCTGGTATCATTGTTTATTCTCGTTTGTTTGAAAAACAAAAAAAATAATTTGTTTGATTATGTTCCATTTAGGAAAACGACCACGAAGATTGTCTAACGTGTCGCATAATCTAACATCACCAAATTCACAACAAAGTTCCCCGCAATCCGTGTCGCCTCCCAAATTATCTCAAAATGTATCGCATATCACTCTACCGGAGGTTGAGATAAAGATTGAACACGAGTTGGATCAAGCCGTCGCTGATGATGTTGTTTGTATTCTTTGTCATGATGGTAGTTCACCGAAGCATAATAGGATAGTCTTGTGTGACAAATGTGATACTCCTTATCATCAACAGTGTCATAAACCATCAGTCGAGGACCGCGTGGTCGAAATACCCGACGCTGAATGGATGTGTTCAAAATGTGACGATTTACGCGAACGCAAGCGTAGAAAGCTTGATGCTACATCTGTCAGTGGTTTAAATTCCAGCGGTTCTTCTCGTTACTCAAGAGAAATTTCTGGTGATGGATTAACGGAAGAACAGGTGTGGATAATTAATTAATCATGGACAGTAGTAATGAACATAAATGTTATATCAAAATTTAATCTCGAAATATTATTTATATTATTAGAAAATAGCATATTTGTCCTCTTTGCCACAACGAGTATTAATTGATTTAATACTCATTGCTGAAAAATTACATCCAGATCTTCCCCTTTATCCTGCCGATGTTAAAGAAAAGGTCGCGAATAATGCTTATTCGATGAGCGATCGTTCTCATTCAATGAGTAATGATCCTCGCGTTTTGGCTATATCTACGTCTTTGCCACATCAACCTTTTCTATCACAGATTTCTATTCCGCAACAACCACCGCGACAATCGTCGCTACAACCGACGCAAAATTATCAATCTTCTATCAATAATAATAATCTATCAAGGGCTCATTTACCGGCCGTTGGTATAGATCTACCTTCATATGAAGAAATGATCGTACAAGCACTCGCATCAATCGCAAATCCAGATGGAAGTGCTCCTCGAAACATTTTTGATTGGATGAATAGGTAACTGATAAAATTGAATCTCTATATAACCTTTCATTTAAAAATGATGGTGATCAATTAATTGAACGATCGTTTTTTATAGTACGTATCCTCTTCATAAAAATTTTCGAGCTTCAGCTTCTCAAGCTTTACAAAAAGCCGTGAAGAAAGGTCGCGTGTTTAGAATTGGAACCGTTTACAAAAATAATCCCAGTTATCGACCTACTAAGGTATTTACACCGAAAGGACATTTAACATAAAATGATTCATCTATGATTATCACTGCGCTAAAACAATTTATATATTTAAATTAGAGAACTCGTCGATATTTTAAAAGACCAAACTCTAATGAACCTTCGTATAAAGATGATGATGATGATGATGACGATGACGCTCCAGAGACAGATAGTCACAGTGGTCAGGATGGTATATATGAGATAGCTGTGAGATTGGATGATAATGAGAATTTCCCTTCTGCTCATGATATAGAAGAACGAAATCCGAGCCTTACGTCATCGGCTATATCTAGTCCACCGCCAAATGCCATTTCTAATGGTCACACGACAGTGACTTCACCTGAAGCGCATTCGCCATTGGATGAGATGCCAAATAAGGTCGTTTCTGTCATGATCAATGAACCTTCATCATTGGGTTCAATCGTTTCCAAACAATCTATAATATCACCAGTAATTGGTAGAAGTACATCATCATTATCTTCCACAATAAATATCCAACCCGACTTGCCCTCAACATTACTGCCACCTCCTATACAACCGACATTGCCTTCTTTGAGCTCGGTCGCTCCGTATTTTGGTTATGGTGGAAATAAGCAAAATCCAATGTATTCTACATTTTCTTTCACCCCGACACAAACGGGTGGGTATAATACTGGACTCCCATCTTTACATAACACCTCTTTGTCACGAGATCATGAGAGTGTTCAAGGATCTGGAAATTCTAGTTCATCGACGCACCTTCAATAGGTGAAGTTATGTTTGTTAATGGGACCTTTTGTAAAAATATTAGGAAATAATTATCCTTTGCATAATGTTAGTTAAATTCAATATTCTTTTTTTTTTTTACCTTTTGCAATTTATTTTCGTGATTATTTTAATAATATTAGTCGTTGGTTACACCATAATTATAAAAGTTTATAATAATAATTATATTTTAATGATTACTTTAGTAGCATTTGTTTTATCGAGGGAAATCTATATATAATTTTTCGGAGGATCATCGTTGTTTTTCGCTTCAAAATAAATTTAATATATGAATTAAATGGTTAATATAATTTTCTAATACAAAGAAATTAATGTTGATGTTGATGCTATCAATAAATCATTGTATTACATGATGGTGTGCGTTAAGGATCTGAAAATTTGGGCACATAAACTGATTTGATTATCTTTTTTTGTTAATTAATTTACTAGTATTACTAGTATTTCAAAATAAAATTAAAAAAATCAAAAGATCTATAAAAAAAAAAAAAATGATTGATCATTTTTGGTGTGATTTGTTACATGACATTAGCATTGGCGGTATTATAATCTAATATGATCTGATCAAATTTAGAAATTGTAGATGAAATTTTAAATAAAAAGGACCGTTTGTAAATTTTGTTATCCTTTGTTGAAATACTTTTCCTTCCCCCCCTTTTTTTTTTCAATATTTTGATTTCTTTTTAGTAAAAAAAGGTTTAAAATTAAAATGTCGAATTTACGTGCTCTTGACGATGAAGAAGTGGATAAAGAAATGAAGAAAATGGTACACTTTTATTTTGAGAAAAGAGATTGGACTTTAAATTGTGGTTCCGCTATCGGTTAATGCTACTTTTACTTTGCCCCTTTTTTTTATGCTAGGTTACTTTTATCGAACAAGAAGCTATTGAGAAAGCTCGTGAGATAAAAGTAAAAGTATGTATCAACTTTGCATTAAATCATCAACAAAATCGATCATTTTATTAATAATTTCTTAATAGGCCGATGAAGAGTTCAATATTGAAAAGGTCAGTACCTTTTTAATTTTATGTTTCCTGGAAGAAAAGAAGGAAGTTGAAGATTTAAAAACATCAGAAAATTTTTTTTTTTTTTTTTTTTGCATACATTATGCACACTTAGGCTAAACTTGTTCGCCAAGAGTCGATCAACATCGAAGCAACATTTCAAAGAAAGATCAAACAAGCAGAAGTTCAAAAAAAAATGTAACCTTTGCTTTTTAATCTAATTCACTTTCTAATTTCATCTTTTTCTAACCAATAAAGCTTTCACCATTCCCTCTATAGCACTCAATCAAACATAATCAATAAATCTCGTCTTAAATTACTACAAGCGCGTCAACAATTGCTTAACGAAGTATTTAATGAAACGAGAAATCAACTTTCTAACGTATCAAAAGATCAAACCAAATATGGTGAACTTTTAAAAAATTTGATATTACAAGGATTATTTCAACTTATGGATGATCAAGTTAAAGTTATTGTGAGAAAAAAGGATCAGGATTTAGCCACGAAAGCCATTCAAGCTGCTTCTAACAGCTATAAAGAATCCACCAAGAAAAAGATTGAAGTTGAACTTGATAAGGAAAGCAATTTATCTGATGATTGGTAAGGATTATAAATCTGTCGTAATTTAAATTGATTGATAAAAGCCTTCATTGATCTAAATTTTTTTTGATGATATTTAGTACTGGTGGTGTTATTTTGACATCACATTTTGGTCGTATAAGAATTAATAATACTCTTGAAGAAAGATTACTCTTGTCTCAAGAAGAGGTAAATTTTATTTATTTATTTTATTCATATCAATATTGATAACTTTGATAATTAATTAATTTCCTTGCAAAAAAAAAAAATTATAGTTGCTTCCCGAAATTCGAGTTATACTCTTTGGTCATTCTCCAAACAGAAAATTTTTCAATTAATTTATATTTTGTGTTATTTATTTAATTGCTTTACTACTACTATACTTAAACGTAATTTAAGTGTAATTGGGTTGTTATTAGAGGTTTCATTTATTTTTTGTATGAATATTAAATAATAATGGATTTTTATATATTTATTTAAATTAGTTAATAAAAAATAAAAAAAATTTATTCATTAATAAGGAAGTTTATAACACAATTTACAGCATCAGCAACTACGATTACTTACTTATAATTGAACCTACTTTATAATTTCTCATTTGGTGCATTAGTAATGTCTACAACTTGATCCGTACCAGGATAAGACGGAAGATTCAATTCAAATTTTCTTTCTAATTCTCTATTAAATTTTTGTATCCAAATTGTTATTTTAATTCAAATATATAACATGTAGTAATGCAAATGACTTACGGAGGAACAAATCTGCCACCAAGAAAGTGTTTACCATTAAAATGCTTTGCACATAATTTTGGTGCCGTTAAAGAAATCAACATTGATGGTGTAAACCCACGATTATCAATGTTTCCTATAATCAGTTATGTGTTAAGAAAAGGGGGGAGAATTTTTTTTCGAATTTTTATGGTAAATAATAAGAACCTTTTTCTACATCCCATGCCGATGGAATATCAACTAGAAATCAATAGAGTAATAAAGTTAATCATGTTGTGAATTGTTTTTGAAAGAAAAAAGGGATTACATAAATGATTTGATTAACCTGACACAATGGGAAGCTTTGTTCCCTTCAATCTCTGTTGAATCGAAGAAAAAAAAAAAAGTTCACCCAATTGTTAACTTTTTTTTTAAACTTGACAATCGATATAATTACCCGAATGACTTGATCAAAAGGTTGTCTGACTTCACCGGAAAAACTAAATCCAAATATAGCATCAATTATCAAATCATTATCGTTGAATGTCGAGTCAGATAATTCCGCCGTGATCGGAATTTTAAGGTTTTGACATTGGATTACTAATCTCTACAGAAAGTAAAAAAAAAAAAAAAACAAATAAAATAATAAAAATAATAAAATTAAATTTATGATAACAATCAAAATGGAAAAAAATCTACTCACCTCGTATAATTCTTTTTTGGTTGGTTTAGGATAATAAATATTTGGTTTATAACCGAAATGAAACAAATGACGCGCAGCTACAAGACCTAAACATCATATATGTGTGTATACACATGTTCACAAATTTTCGATTTACGATCAATTATCATTCTAGATTAAATATTAATTACCATCACCACCGTTATTTCCCGGTCCACAACAGATTAATGCACGAGGATACTTTGAATTATCATAAACTCTTGTGATGGCTTGTGCGACACTTAATCCGGCCAATTCCATAAGCTATGAAAAGTTGTAAAGGTGTTGATTAATTAATTTCATTTGAAAGAAAAAAAAAGATGAATTCGAATTCGAGAATTAACGAACCTGATCAACGGAGAATCCACCAGACGAAGAGAATAATTCTTCGTCGATTGTTTGCGCAATTCTTTGAGTGAGAAACTAAAAAAAAAAATAAAAAATGAAAATAAAAATAGAGAGAGATATATATGTGTGTCAATTAATTAATATGAAATTTGTAAAAGAAATATTTTTTATCCGACGCATTTAACTGGAAAAGAAAAATATAAATTCCTTCTTTACCTTCAATGCCATGCTTGAAAGGTTGTTCCAAAGAAATTCCTCGTGAAAAATATCAGGCGGATTTTTCGTGGTGTAGTGATTAGTCCGCGGAATTTCACGGGAGACACGGGATATTTTTTAATGTTTTGATTTGTTTATTATGTAACTAAAATGTATTACATAATTAAGCAATATGTTTGGGAAAAAAAAGGGTACATACATTATAAAATCTTTAGTAACAGGTGATCAAATGCTTATATATTTATTTAGAAAATAAAATAAAAGATAATTTATTTTTGTATTTTTATTAACATTGTAATGTAATACCTATCATGTAATATTCATAATCTTTTCACGCTTGGATTCTTTATTAAAATGATATAAAATAGTTTTTTGAATCATGATTTGTTTCGATAGATTATGCATTTCAAAAATATTGAAACTTTTGAATTTCAAAAAAGAATTTCCTAATTTTATTATCTTTCCGGGTTTGTCGATCTTGTGACACAAATTTCATACATGCATAAGCAAATGGGGGAAAAAAGGATAAGGTCATGACATCTGTGAGATGATCTAAACTGTATCTTATTTTCAGGAGACCTTTATGGATTAAAGTTGTTGAAACTTGCATTGTATAAAAAATATTTCAAGTCTGGTGTTGCGTTATTTCGGATAATTTCTTAATAAAACACCCTTTCAAGGTTCCAAAAACTATTTTTGATTCATAAAAAAAAAAGTTCTTGTAAAAAGTCCACAAAATGACGACACCAAAGAATGTCTCCGAACAACAATTAATGGCCTTCTTCCAACGTATTGATGTGGACAATAATGGTACTTTAACCCCAAAAGAACTTCAACGCGTATTATTAAACGGAGATTGGTCGGCATTTAATTTAGATACGATAGAGTTACTTTTTTCATTATTCGATAGTGATAGAACTGGTACTATACATTTTAATGAATTTGTAGGTTTGTGGCGTTATATTGAAGATTGGAAGCGTATCTTCTCAGCTTTTGATGCGGATAACAGTGGTACTATTGAAATTCCCGAATTGATAACGGCCATGAAAAACTTTGGTTTTAATATTAGTGAACAAATGTTAAAAAAATTTGTTAGAAAATATAAAGTTTCTCATAACACTCAAGGCAGAAAGTTAATGTCAAGTGAATTAGAACATGCCATCTCCTTTGATAATTTCGTTCAATTATGCGTTACCGTTAAAACAATGACTGACGTTTTTCGTGCTTTGGATCAAAGTGGTTCCGGTTGTGCTAAAATGAGTTATGAGCAATTCATGGAAGTTATTGTGAAAAATAAATAAATAAAAAAAAAAATGTAGAAAGGTGGGAAATGAGAATCGAAAGGAAGTCTCTTGTATTTCATTTATTGAGAATTTGAAACAATTCAACAAAAAAAAAATTAATTTTATGTTTTATAAATAATTTTAGTTATTTATTCGCATGTCCTAAATATATTTTATTATAAGAAATGAAATTTAATTTTTTTTTTTTTAATTCTTTTTAATTTTTTTTTTATTTTTTTTTAAAAAAAAGAAATCAAGAAGAGTAATTTTCTTGAATATACACTACTCGTGTCTCTTATATATATATATATAATTTTTTTTTTTTATATAAAAATGGTATCTCTAAAGATTTAAGCTTTTATATACTTTCTCTCTTTTTTTTTTTTTCAAATTATACCGTCTTTAAATATATACATTAAAAAAAAGAAAATCGAAATCGACAGGTAAAAATAAGAAAAAAGAAAAAAGAAAGAAAGAAAAAAAAAAAAAACAAGAACACATAATAACATATTTCAAGGAAATGTTGCCCTAAAAATAGTGAGTTTTTTTTTTCTTTTCTTTTGGAAAGTCAAAAGTTGTAACATATTCGTATAACTAGCTAAAATAGCTAAGAAGCTTAGATTTATACAAAATATGTGTACGGTCTTTTGATTTTCCTATTTACAATGAAAACAACGAAATTAACGAAAATTACTTGTTATACTTACCGTCCTGCATAAGAATATCTAGAACTCCAGCTTTCGATGCTCGATTCACAAAGACTATTTCTGAGTGCCGTTATGTCTTGTTGCGAATAACTTCCCATCAATATCTTTGCCACCGCAATATAAGCCTCATCAGTTTTAAGGCATAAAGGTGCATTTACTTGTAACGGAAGACGGTCTGTGGTGATCGTCTTTAAGAATAATCGAGATTCTAAAATGAAAAGGTTAAGGAAATCTATCACAAAATACCTATTCGAATTCTTGACATTTTTTTTTTTTTTTTTTTTTTTTGAATACGTACCAAGATTATCCACGAAAACGATTAGATTTTCATCTTTGTCCAAAACCACCTTCCTTATCAATGTTGGAGGACTTAACCGACCGAGCTTAGGACTCAAAAGTAATACTTTACCAAGACTCTCTTTATCAAGTGCAGGTTGCAATTCTTGCCTTACAACTTTTTTCACGTCGGCAATGTCAGCATTGTATGACACGTGAACTTTGACGGGATCGGTATGTAAAGGATGTTTTACCCATACGACCAGTTGTTTCTCATGTATACCATTATCATCAATAATATTACCGTCACCACGTCCTCCCCAATTGAGTAGAAAATAATTACATATAATTGAAGTCAAAATTATATAAAAGATAATGTTTACTGAATAAGGTGGTGGTTTCGTTTTCCCAAAACCATTTGCTGCCACTCTGGACTGAACCTCTACATCATTTAAGGATACCATTTCTCTCTTTTTTTTTATTTTTCTGAAAGCTTTTTATTTTTATTTTTATGTAAAAGAAAAAAAAATTCGAAATTCTAATAGCGAAAAAAGAACCCTCCTTACCATATGGTTTGTGTTTCAAAGAAATCTCACCCTTTTATAATATCGGCTCATACTGCGCCAAAATCTCGTTATCGGAATTTATTAAATGATATAATTGATCTAAAAAGATAAGATCGATTTACGGTTACGAAATTCATCACATTGTCACCCCAGATTTATTTTTGAAACATCCTATTCGAATTCAAGGAGTCATATTCCGCAGCAGAACCTCCCAAAAATTAAATATCTTTTTTTTTCCTGTTTTTTATTGTTTTTATCAAAATATTTTTTTGTTTTTTTAAAATAAAAAAAAAAATGCCAACTTATAAAAAAAGATTATCCATCTAAACTTGCAATCACGTGTAACTGTTGGTGTTGCTGCGGATTTTCAGCAAGGAATCCAAAGAATTCTTTTTTTTTGATTGAAACTGAATGACATCATCATAAACTTATTGATAATTCGATATCCATTTGATGAGTTAGGGTTGCATGATTTGTAAGAGAGGCCAAAGATGATATTACACATATGTAATACATCATTTTTAAACAACAGAAATGGCGTAGCAAGGTCATTGGGAAACTCGGAATCATCATGATAGATAAAACGCGTTTACGCGCTTTTCGTCAATATGGTAACAAGCGCATTTAGATTGTGAATGCAGATTTCGAGTTTTATTTTGAGTTCATGATATATATGGTATCATCATTAATAAAATCTATATGCATTTTTTATCATCATAAGAAAATCTTGGTTTAAGATCAAACTGTCAATTATTAAATTATTTTGGATGATGTTACCCAAGATAAATGGTTTAAATGATTTAAATGATTTAAATGGTTTGATTCGTAATCAATAATATACACAGCTTTTGAGCATTATATTTCAACCATACCCTTTCAACCTTATAAAAGAAAGATCTTTTAGATGGCAACAATTTTTTTTATTCAATTCGTACATTCACTCGATTCTACATCATGATGTTTAATCACTCATTATATCATTTTGGTTGTTAATTTTCCATGAGATACCCGCACATTTTTTTTTTTCACCGCACATTCATTCACCAATATCTAATATCCTAAGCTTTTTCTTTTTTTTTATTTTTTAGCTATTCGTGTATACCAAATTGCATTCGTCTGATGAGATTGATCCGACGAAAATGTTAGCCAAGGATCTTTAAGAAATTTCATCTTACAACAAATAACTTAACCCTCTCGGTTAAAGTTCGACATGATAAGGATAATTTGATTATTCAATCGCGTAAATTTGACGCGTGAGTTTAAGGTTAAAGTGTTGTTGGAATGTTTATTCAAAGTGGGAAAGAATTAAAGAACTGGATGATGCGGAACTGGAAGGTCCATAACTTTACTGACTATCTATTAATGTTATTTCATATCGCCAAATCACATGATGGCAATTTTTTTAAAAAAAAAAAAATCGGGGAGAAAAGTTCTATTACAAAAAACCAAGATTTTTTGTGCTAATATTACTACATATAATACTTTTGAGTTACACTATTTACAAATTATTATTATTATTATTATTATGATTGTCCTATTTAATGGTATAAACCCATCAAAAAGTTTCTCTGACAGTGATCTTGGATCATCATCAATCAAGATCACCGAAGAGGTTCTTATCCGACAACAATAACTTGAGGTCATGCAAAGGAGCTGGGATAGTGATCCTGATCTCCCCGCAAGTGGTTTTTTTTGCCAAGAATAAGCCATGATAATAAAAGTCTTGCAAGTAATGACGAAAAGTTTTCTCATCTTGGCAGATGTAATTTTCCAAGCAATGTTCAAGTAAAGTCCTGAAATCTAAACTATCTCCATTTGTTTCCCCTTTTTTGGTAGACGTGACAATATGATCCGCCAATATGACGAACATCCCACGACGGTGAACATTCCATGATGTCAACACGGATTTTATTTCTTTTCTCTTCAATTCATTGGAAGCCTTTTTGGGTCCACTTTGCACCTGAGGAATTAATTCCCCTAAAACAGGTTTAGGAGGTCTCATATTAATCTCTCCCATAACTCGCTTTGATGTCATCATCATTTGAGATACTTTTTTTCCATTTGCCATGGTAAGAAGACTTTCCACGGCATCTAATTCTTTCTTGCCCTCTTGCGTTTCTTTTGAGGTTTTAAATCGTCTTCTCTTTTCCCTTGTAGACATTTCAACCCTGGGCCTTATGAAGGTGTTTCTCCTAATAACGGGCCTCCTTCTATAATGTCTTGTGGGTGTTACCTCTTCCCAAGGTTCCCAAGCGGAATCACTTTCTTCGGTGTTAATTTCCAGCTCTTGTTGTACGGTCTGAGATTCTCCTCCTTCTTCCTCTTCTTCCTCATCCTCTTCTTCTTCTTCTAACCTTCCTATAAACTCATTCCATTGCCGTTTTGTATTTCGCCGAGCCACAAAAGGGTCATCTAATTCAATCCGTTTTGCCTCAATCTGACTTATTGTCTTTCTTCTTTGTCTTTTCTTGAGTCTTTCGGCTATATTTTTGCCTTCTACAGAGGCCAAGGTTGGGTATGTCTCCATGCTGGCGACGAGAGCCTTGAGTTCTCTATTTACGGGCATTATTGGTCGATATCTTTTTTCTCTTTTTTAAAAAGTATAGAAATGAAAACCAAAAACGTTCAAAAACAAGCGTGTCGTTTTCGCGATTGTTTAATGACTCTCAAAAGCGAGAGCCTATGATTAATTGATTAGCTTTTTTTCGTTTAGAAAAAAGATAGAGTTGTAACCAAAACGATTATGGTAATGATCATGTGTGTGATAGAAGGTTGATTTCAACGTTTAATAAAAAAAAAAAAAATCGAGCCTTGCTTTTTATTTATAATTACAATTTAGTATTTATTCTCGTTCATTTGTTATTTGATCGGGTGTTAAATTCAGAACGCGCTTAACGATCACAAAAAACTTTATCAAATAAATCTGAAACGTTGCTCTCCTAATGAGATGATTCAATCTAACTCTCCATACTGTATATTTCTTCCTTTATTTTATAGTTTTAAAATTGATCGACATACGCCAATTGGATACGTCATTCACGTTAGGAGGAGTGACATACTAAGAGACGCGCTAACAGCCAAAAGAAAGCTGAAGCTGAAGGAAGATTATCCATTTTACGCGTCCTTACGCGTAGTTTTACCAATGCTTTCTTTTAAAAGATTGAAAATGTTGTATTCCATCAATCAAATTTAATTTTGTTATAGCCCAAATAAGCTAGCAGACAGATTTATGTACATTGAAAAACAAAAAAAAAATTTTTATTTGATTAAATAAATGTGGTAAAAATCATTTGTAGTCAGGCTTCTATATTACAAAATTAAAATTTTAAGTTATTTTGCCAACCGTAATTAATGTAATTAATGGTTGAATATTATATAGATCCATAGGTCCATCTACCATTAACTTTTTGTGCTACTATTTTCATGGGAGATAATTCCCAATTCTTGGGACCAAAACTTGGAGATACATAAGCTATTTTCTCGGACTCTTTCTTCTTTTTTGATCTACATTAAAAATCGCGTGGAAATTAAAATAAAAAATGCGCGCGAACAATTAAAAGCAAACAACATTATAAAACACTAAAAACATTGTTAAAAAGCGATACGTACTTGCTTGTTGTCAGTTCAACTGGCTTGGAAAATGTACATAATGTTTTACCAAGTTTGGATAGCCAACTTGACTCCACAACAGTGACACCTTAGGACAAATCGTCAAGAATGATTATGTAAGTATCCTTTTAAAATAAAATAAGAATTAAAGACCTTTTTTTTTTTTTACCTTTCATCCAAACTTTACTTGTTTTATGCAATTCTTGATATACGACAAAATTTGGTGGTTTATTATGATACAATATAGACGTAGGATGAATAAATACATCATCTTCCGTCCACATGGTACAATATTCTACATTTCTTGTTGATGAAAATGTTTTTGATGATTTTTCTATCACTCCTTTACGGATTGCTACCTGATCTATAAATCCCGCTGTAATAATTTGTTTTAATGCTTTAATCTAATGAATTAACGGATTAATATATAAGAACATCTATTAAAGGAATTAAAACAGTTAGACACTAAATTCACTTACTTGAATCGTTGATGGTGGTTTCATTTTTGGATCGACACAGACATCAACTCCGGGACAATTCATTTGTACAATATTTGTTATTTGTCCTCTTAATTTATGTATTTCTTGCATAGCCTATCAAAGTTTGAAAAAAGGTTTCCCAAATTGAAATTAAATAAAATTCAAATTATAGAAAATGAGGTTTATAACCATGTTATCATACCTTTGGACGAACAAAATTACTCTCACAAAATTTATCCGTACCCCCTTCATATTCATACGCGCCTACAACACTAAGTAATTTTAATATATCACTAGTAGGATCAAGTCCGGAATGTTTCTAAGATTAAAGAAAAAAGAAATGATGCAAATAATTTTCACATAATTAAATGAAATGGGACCTCTAAATTCAACGCGAACCTTTTGTACGTCATAGAAATTTTTCCTGATTAATTTTCGACGTTCCTTTTGTAAAATGTTTTCTTTATGAATACCAGACAATTCATTAGATCGATCATCTTCATTCTCCTCCTCCTCATCAGAATTTCTATTATTATCTAAATGAAAATCTTTAATGAATGGATCACCAACAGTTAAAGCCGAAACGATAGCGATAATATAAGGCAGACACCCATGTTGCTGTCCAATAATTAACATTTTGGAAAATCTAGGTGCAATGGGAAACGTTGCCATAGTACGTCCAAGTTCAGTTATTCTTCCATTTTCATTTAAAGCACCCAAGTATTGTAATAAATTTTCGGCTTTACGCAATTTGTCATGATCAGGTGGAGTGGGAAAAGGAAAATTAAGGACGGTATCTATATTCATCGATTTCATTTGTAATACTACTCCTTCAATTGGCATACGATGAATTTCTGGTACTGTGAATTGTTGAAATTGATCATTAAATACTGCTGATGAGTAAAGTCGGTAACAATGTCCAGGTCCTGTTCTTCCGGCACGCCCTGCACGTTGATCTGCTGATGCCTTCGAGGTCCAACCAACTACGTACGATTGCACTCCCGTTGTAACATCATATTGACGTTCTTTAACTTTCCCACAGTCAACAACATATTTCACACCGGGAATGGTTAATGATGTTTCCGCAACGTTAGTTGCGACTACACATAGACGTGTTCCTTCCGGTGGTGGTTCAAAAACACGTAATTGGGCATGCGTGGATAACAATGAATATAATGGAAGTACATAAAGTGGTCCAGCTACATTAAGAAAAAGAGTTTAAATTAGATCATGAAATCAAGTTGAAGATGATAAAAAGTAATTTTCCTTACCATGCTGATCGACTATCATTTCATCATTGTCAAAATCTTTAATATCTTCAGAATCTTCAGAATCGGTATCAAATGATTCGGCCTCTTCAACTTCTTTATCACCAATATCCAAATCTTCAGTCTCGATATCAGCTACAATATACGTTGTAAATGCATAAAATATAATGTATAAAGTATTTGAATATGTAAAAACACGGTTATAAATACAGGTAATTTACCTTGTTTTGCGGTTAAACATTCTCTTACTTTTTCAACTGCTTCATTGATTATTTCCTTCTCTTCTAACAACTGTCTGCTCATGTAGGTATCTTGATTTTGCTTTATATAAGGAAACTTCCTACGAAGTTTTCTGCAAAGGATAGAAATTTCGTTTTGACCAGTCAAGAATACAAGGATTCCTATTTTAAATAGTGAAGATTAATATTTAGAAATTCAAGAACTTAACGGATGATTAAGTACTAACCTCCGTGTGGAAGTCTCGTGTGGATTTTACAGACTTTCTTGAACGTTTCACTAATATGATCAATATCAGGGGTCCGTTTATTGAAATGAATCGAAACCTAGCAACAGATAGATAACGTTAGCAATTACTCACTTAAAAGAAGTTTAAAATTAAAATTGCACCTACAGGGAATTGACGAGCATTAACATTAATAACCGGAGGAGCCATAACAAATAGATTTTTATTTTGTGTAAAATCAGAAACACGTAAAGTTGCCGACATAATAATAATTTTTAACGGCTAAAAGAATTATATGGTCAATATCAGCTTCTTTTTTTTTTTTTTTACAAAGGAGTCAACATCATTTACAATTTTTTTTTTTTTACGATACCTTAATTTTACTTTTTTCCTCTTCACTCAATTCGGCCCGTAATTTGAGTACACGACTTACAACACCGATCAAGATATCAGTATTTAAACTTCTTTCGTGTGCTTCGTCGATTATAATGGAGGAATATTTTGATAAAAGAAAATCATTGGCAAGTTCGCGAAGCAAAACACCATCAGTCATAAACTTAATGATGGTTTTTGGCGATGTTGTCGCATCATACCGAATCTAATAAAGTTAATTTTATTACATTAGGTTTCTTTCGATATGAAACGCGTTAATAATCTCATATGAACCTGGTAAGAAACTTCTTGCTCGCTTAACGACAATTCCTGTGCCACACGTTTTGACATGCTAACAGCAGCAACGCGTCGAGGTTGCGTTATACCAATTATTCCCGGGTTATCTAATATTTTTATGCTTTGTCAATAATAAAAGAGATCGGAATGGCTAGATTTAATAATTAGTGTTACATACCACTATCCTTGTTACCATAACCAGCTTCGTATAGAAACTGTGGTACTTGAGTTGTTTTGCCGGAACCAGTCTCACCACATATGATTACTACAGGATTATTACTTATTGCTTCCATTATGGCTTGTTCTTCACCACATATGGGAAGCTTCATTCTAGCTTCCTGGGTTTTTTTGTTTCTTTTGACAGGGACATAGAAGGCCTTAAAAAGAAAGAATCTGACAAAGTGAGGGTATGGTTTATGGAAGAGGCAATATGAATGCTTCATACCTTCTTAACGGCTTTAGATTCAGACGACATAACGTTAGGTTTATCTTCATTTATACTTCCAGTAATGTCGATTCCATCTTGGATCAAAACTTTTTTATTAACCCATTTTGTCTCTTTCTGTGACTTCATGAATTTGATATTAGGTTCGTCTACGATGCTTTCATTTTGATTACCCTGTAGTTTCATGCCCATTTGTTCTGTTGCCCATTCTTTAAACGATTGACCCTTTGATGATTTTGTAACCATTTCATTCACTTCCGTTTCGGAACTTTTTTCAATCTCTTCGTCGGTGTCATATTGAGAGTCTGAACTATCAAAGGAGTCATCTTCTAATGTTGGCTCTTGTATTATCTTTGCCTAAAGTCAAACCCTATGTAAGCTTAAATCACAATAATCACATAAATCAAAGATACAATACACACAAGAATAAGAAATTTACCCGTCGTTTTTTGGGTTTACTTTTTTTCTTTTTTTTTATTGCCATTATAAACTCTCCATTTGAATCTCGTTTAAGAGCACTTCCCAAGAAATCATTTTGATTAATCACGTTTATTGCTTTGCCCTGTTCCTTGGTATCAGGGAGCTTGGCTCTCGAAGAATGATCTTTTGCGAGACTTTTGCCAGCGTCTTCAGAAATCACGTGATCTCTTAAATCATCTCCTCCTTCATTCACATTCACAAACAAAGGAACACTAGGATCAGATTGAGGCAATCCTAAACGATTCTCATTATAAGCCTTACGAAGTCGTTCTTTCATGGTCTCTTTCTATTTAAAATATTTCAATCCTTGTATAATTCAGTATCATTATTATAAAATGAATCGATTCATTGAAATTCTCTATTTCTTACCCTTCTACCCAAATTTTTACTTGATTTCATAAGTTCTGATGAAAATGAAGATTTTGAAAGGTTCTCCATTAACTTGACACGTTCTTCCTTTTTAATTTTTTTCTCCTGTAAAAAGATTTCATCAGTTAAAATTCGTTTTACCTTTGTCGATATATTAACAAAATTACGACTTACAATATATTTCTCTAATCTTTTCTTTTTTTTACTTGACATTTTCTTTTTCGTAGACTCCATTTTTAGGTAATTTTTTTTTTTAAAAAAAAAAATCCAAAACGTTTTCTTAATCATCATCTCGAAAATTAATCAATTCAACATATTCCTCATGACCGTGAGAATGTTTGGATATTCGACCAACAAGTCATCAGATTGAAGATCACTAGACTAAAATAATTAAATTAATTGAATGCTCAATATTAGACGAAAATCTTTAAATCTTTGACGAAAGAACAATTCCAAGATAAATTATGAGTGAAACCGAATTATCACAAGATCCAGCAAAACTCCAAGCTCTCGTTCGCCAACAGGCGAAGGAATTAAAAAAGATTAAACAGTTGAATGCTGACCTTACAGAGAAAAGTGAGGGCCTTTCGGTGAGCATTCGCGTATTACCTTTGGTGAAAATGTTGAAGCTTTTCATTTTTCTGCCTGGCTTTAGGCGTAAAATTTAGAGCTGTTGTTTTTTTTTTTTTTTAAAATTAACCACATACAAAAGTTAACGATTTTTTTGTTTCAATAAAAATTCGGCTCAACTTTAAGGATCGTACCAAAGCTCTGCAGCAGGTTGAACAGAGTGAAAAGAGCATTACAAAATCCCTTCAAGAACAATTGAATTATGTGAGAATGTCCATATAAAATTATAGATCAGCTGCATTTGTTAATAAATTTGATTTTACAAATTTTATATTGATGGAAATTTTTATCCTTTCACGAATCAAGGCCAGACAAGAGAAGGCGACCTTGGAAGCATCGATGGAAGCACGGGCCAAATCATTTCAGAGTACTTTGTCAAAGTTACAAATTAACCAAGGGTTAGTTATGGAATGATTACACACAGTTTTTTTTGTTTTGTGAGACTTTGAGATACATTTTTCATTTTACAGAAAATTAAGAAAGAATAATAATTGAAGACGGTGTATTAGTAACTTTCCAAGTCATTCAATTGTTAGTGAAATCGGTGCAGGAATGCTACCTTCGCCCATTCCCACTGATGCGCAAAAGTTGGCGATGGAGTCTGAAGATCCAATCGTTTTAAAGCAGGAACTTCAAAACGCATACGAACGTATTCGACAACAAGAATTAGAAATTAAGAAACTCAAGTTTGAAGTTGAAATGGAACAAGGACATGTCAATATTTTGAGACACGATAATCAAATGTTAAGGCAGATCACAGTCGATATGGTAGTAATTTGTAACAGCGTGATGTTGAGCAGATTATTACAGTTATATTTAATATATTCTCTTTATAGCACGCATCGGCTGAACAAGAGGAAGAATATATTTCAAATAAATTACTAAAACGTATTTCAGGACTTAAAAAAGAGAAAGGTGAATTACTCCTCCAAGTTGAACAAGAGGAGGAATATCTTACCAATACTTTACAAAAGAAACTGAATCAGGTAAAATCCGATCATGTACAAAGATTAATTATCATACCATTACCAACTATATGAACATTTTATATTTATTTAGCTGCAAAAAGAAAAAATTGATATGGAAAATGCTCTCGAGCAAGAACAAGAATATATCGTCAATCGACTTCAAAAACAACTTGATTCATTGCGTCAACAACAGACATATCATCCACATCATTCACGTGAGAACAGCACCTCTTCAACTTCTAATACTGGGAGCATCACTCCTTTACCTCCGGCTTCTCCTTCTTCGACGTAGGTTATTCCCAAAATTTATTCCTTTTAAAAAGAAACGACGACTCTTTCTTACGAATTCTTTTACCTTTTTTTCACAGTCACAAAAAATGGATAACTGCGCACTCTTCTTCCCCTACCTCTCCTGATTTTAGTCTTGCTTCTCCTGGTATAGTTGAAGTGTTAAAGGTAGAAGTTGGTACTCTCAGGACCAGAATCTCAGAGATTGAAAAAGAATGTAAGTCATGAATACGAAGATTATAATGATTTCGTTTATTCTTGTATTAATGACACCTTTGATGATAGATATTGCGAAATCAAGTCAAGCAACTCGATTCAAGAATGAATTAATTGAATTGAGAAAGAAATCTGGGTTACCAGTAGAAGATTTATTATCAGAGGAACCGTAAGTGATCGCGTTAACATGTTGATTGAATTTTTTACGTTACGTTTATTCAATGTTTGTATTCAATTTGTAGTGTGCCCGCTTTTATCAGACATAGCAGTAATCAGAGAAATGTGAGTGCAATTCGTCTTGCTACTATTTTTTTTTTTTTTGGAAGCGTTTTAATTTCTTTGAATATAGGCGCGAAGATCAAACTCGAATACGCACAACCCCAATAATTCCACGCAAAATCTTGTTCGAGGTCGATCAGTTTCTGCTGGTGATGTTAAATCCATGCCTTTAAATGTAATCGGTTTGGGTCCTCAGAGCATTAGCACGCAAGCCTCACGATCACGTAGCGGTAAGTATTATTTTAAATTTGTTCCTACTTTGAAGGCAAGTTTATTTTTTGGATTTAATCATATTTCTGCCTAGTGTCAGCAACCCTTAACCAAGCTCCCACAATTGGAAACCCAAACAAATCGGAACCTTCATCAGCGTCACAAGGTTCACCTTCTCAAAATTAGTTTTTAGCATTACATCTTTAAAGGAGGAAAGGATAAGAACAGATGACAGCGTTACTAGAATGTACTATGTACTCATAGCATCAAACAAAAATAACGATAAATTCACACCATTTTCCTGTTTTAGCAAGAATAATTAATATAGGAAGGACAATTTGAAAAAAAAAAAAAAAAAAAAAAAAAAAATAGTAAATTTCAGTCTTCTTTTGCTTACTAAATATTCTTACATATCATTAATTTCAAATTATATGTATAAACTTTCTGTATTTTAATAGTTAAGATTTTACAAAATTTAATATATGAACAATTGATTCTCTTTATAAATCCTTAAATTCATTTGACGCTTCACTCTTCCAACGACATTATTGACCAGTATTTCGCCAACACTTTTTTCACCACGTGACTTAATCAATTTGTCACCCGCGTCACCCCCCATACTGCTTCATAAGTACAGACTGGCGAGAATAATTTTCCTCACGACCGTTAAATGTCACCGGATATTAATTAATCAATTCCTCTATAAACAGCATTTCGTATTACCTAGTATTACCGTATTAATCGTATAAATGTATAATGCAAGAGCACCAATAAACAAGCTTAATCAATAAGTTGATCAACGAACTCGATTGGTTCTATTGTTTCATCGAGAAACCTTTATTTTTTTTCGCGCCAAAAAAAATGACCTTTTATGGTAACTTTTTTAATTAATTCGAATAAATAATGCAGGAGATTTTCAAATCGATTTTTTCGATCAATAAATAAAACTCTATCAATAAATTGATGTTTATATTTTGTGTAAATAACTATTTAACTAGCACTTAAGGATTCATTATTTTTTTTTTTTATCCTTTTCCCACCATTTTCCTTTTTTCTCAACTGGAAATTTCCGTTCTCTTTTTTTTTTTTTTCTTTTTGATTATTATTATTATTATTATATGACTTAAAAAGTTTTTTTTTCGAAAACCAAAAAAAAAATAAAATAAAAGAAGCAAAAAAAAAAATTTAATTTTAAGGATTACGTCACAAACTACAAATTAACTCGAAAAAAATAAAAAGGGCGGATAACCGAAAAAATTTTTACCTTCTGACAAATATATGTATGTATGCAAGATAATTATTGTGTGTATATAATATACTAATATACTATAAGGTTGATGATAAGATAAAATTCAAAGATAATTAAAAAAATAAAAAGTATTATATTAATATGTTGAAAAGTAATCAAATGATGGAAGTAGAGTTTAAACATTCGGATTTTATCTCGACTCATACAACTTCGAGCTCAATAGATGATTCCGAATTGGGTCAAAGACTTGAATTATATGGAATTTGTAAAGAATGTCAACATCCGAAACTTAATGAAGAATGGTGTTCAAAGTGTAACAATGAAAGGTTCGAAGCAAGGTTCGAAACGTGGACGAGTGATAATAAAGATATCGATAAATTTATTTCCACGATTCAATTAACCGCTACCAATTATTCTCAAATATTGGAATGGATTCCATGGAAACGTTTAATGGAAGTCAAACATATTGGCATTGGCAGGTTTGGTTCCGCCTATTCCGTTACCTGGTTAGATGGTTACATCACTCATTGGGATCGCGTAAAGCAAGAATGGGGAAGGAGTGAAGCCGGAAAAAAATTTTATGTTAAAGTCCTTCAAGGTTTATCGACCGACTTTGCGAATTTTGTTAATGAGGTAAAAATGATTTCATGATTTCTTTTTTTTTTAAAAAAAAAAAAAATCCTCCTTGCCAATCAAAGACGTCTTCCTAAATTTTTTTTTCTTTTTTAACACATGTAGTTGCTTTCACATCAAAATGGGAAAAATGGTTTGATTCGATGTTACGGAATAACTCAAGATCCGGTCACAAAGGAATACGCGCTGGTTATTCGCTGTATTGAACGAGACCTGAAGAGTTATTTATACAGTTCGCTACCCTATCCCGAATATGATTGGAAAACAAAGTTGGAGATTCTTGCCGATATCGCTTTTGTTATCAATCGTATACATGACGCGGGTTTCATTCACAAGAACTTTCACACGGGAAATCTAAAACGATTAATGAATAGCACCATAATAACCGAAATAAACAATCACGGGGATGATTCACCCACACTATCACATTCCAATGGGGTTTACGGGGTTCTTCCTTATGTTGCGCCAGAAGTATTACGAGGAGGGATAATCAATAAGGCGGCAGATATATATAGCCTTGGTGTGGTCATGTGGGAGGTGGCAGTTCAAAGACCTCCATTTGACCTGAATGCTCATGATAGACTGTTAGCTCAAAGGATTTGTTGCGGGTTAAGACCTCATATCAATAATTCGATGCCAAAATCTTTGGCCAAATTAATTAAAAGGTGTTGGGATGCAAACCCATTAAATCGTCCTGAAGCTGAAGAAGTTTATATCTGGGTACAATGGTGGTTGGATTTATGTAATGATACCACGTCTGATATTGCGGCAGAATTTAACATTGACGGCGAGAGAAGGCATAAAGATGGAAATTTTTTTACACATCCTGAAGCGATTTATACAAAACGTCTTTTGGATTTTCCAAGTTTACCGGAACCTGAAAATTTTTCTCCAAATTCTTTTCATCAAATGGTTTCATTTTGCGCGAGACTTCAACACACCTCGGACCCTGAAGGTCAATGGAGTGTCAATAATAGCTCGGATATATTTGGTAAGTTGCAATTCCGTAAAGGAAACATTTAGCTTAAAGTAATTTTATAGTCGTTAAATGGAATTTGTTTCTTAAAATAGAATTCGGATCGCAATTATCGCGTCCTCCTTCAACTTATGCAGAGAATAACAAGGACAGTCTGATCCTTACCCCACCTCCTCATAAGGTTAAAAATGAACTCTCGTTGGAATATAACATTCCGGGGGCTTTTATCGGTATGAATAAAAACCATTCCTTTTTCCGACTATGAGACTTACCCCTCTTATCTTACATGCATTCCTTTTTTTTCATCATATAGTTGACAATATAGAAGTTATCGACAACTGGGACGGTAAATATTAATGCATAAATAATTTTTTTTTCCAACTTCGTGTGACATGTTGATTAACTCTAACGTTGCTTTTCTTCCTTCCCCTAATTTGGTTTATAGATGTTGAAGCATACATTCATCACGTTGTAATGATCCTTATACCAAACGCATTCACAATTATCTTCCCCGACATTACAAAACATTATAAAAGTTTACCATTTTATATTAGGATCAGCTTTCTATCATTATTATTTTATTCAATCTTTGCTTCTATATGGAGCGTCATTCGGTTATTTCTTCTCTTCTTATTTCTTCATTAGTATAAATAAATTAAATTTTTTTTTCCTTTTAGATTTTTTATAAAAATATTGTATATTATATAATTAATTGTAATTGTAATAGAAAAATTTTTTTCCCACCCAATAAAAGGTTATTATTAGATCACGTGATTATTTGTTACCGGTAACACGATTTACGTGATTGTACATATTCTTTCGTTTTAAAAAAAAAAGAGACCCCATCAAAAAATGTTTAAAATCTTAAAAACTATATCACGAAAGAGAATTTAATTTATTTTCTTTTCTTTATATATATGCAACATATATATTTTTCACTCTGACTTTGACTTGAAATCTCTGTTATGAGTTTCTACTCTGATTACGACTTAAAATAATCATTCTTCAAAAAAAAAAAATTCTCTATTTAGATATTTACGTAATGGCTTCGATACTATCTGATGGTTCTTTAACCGATGTGTCTTCCTTGAGCTCACCTTCTTCGGATTCATATGATAGTTCGGGAAATTCTTCACCAAACGTAAAGTTACGATATCAAAAGGGAGAAGAAGCATTATGTTATCATGGTCCCACAGTATATGTAGCGCAAATCTTGGACACGAGGATAATATACACGAGCAAAGTGGGAGAAGTGGGACCACAATATCACGTACATTACAAAGGATGGAATAAGAAATGGGATGAGTGGGTACCCGAATCAAGGTTACTTAAGAAGACTCAAGAAAATATAGACATGTATATGATGCCAAGGAAGCATTTTATGATGGAATCATCAGATCTCGATTTGGTCGATAATAATGATAATAATAAAAGGAGGTCAAAGGAAGATGATAGTGACCCGGAAGGGGGTGGAGATAAGAAGAATTCAAAATTACGTTCGAAAAGGATTCGATTATCCGTTGATGTGAATATCGAGGAGAAGGTTAGGATGGTCGATGAATGGCAATGGATAACCAAAAATCAATTGATTATACATCCCATGCCAAGAGAAAAGACAGTTGATGATATCTTAAAGGAATTTCTAGATTGGTATTTGGAAAGGTTAAGAGAACGGAATAAGATTACCAAACAACAAGAGTTGGACGTGGAGGATGATGTAGAAGATTTTAAAGAATTTTTTAATGAGGTTCTACCGGTCAATCTGCTTTATCGTTTCGAAAGGCAGCAATTTGTTGAATTAGTTGAAAAATATCCCGAACTTTCTTATTCTTCAATTTATGGCGCGGAACATTTAATGCGCCTTATTGTAAAGATCCCAGATCTTGTATTTTCCGTACAAATGAAGGAAGAAAAGGCCGAGGAGATACAGGTTTTGATCAGAGAGATGGTGGAATTCATTCAACTTAAATGTAAACCTTATTACGCTACTCAATATGAGCCTGCTGATCCCGCTTACATCAGAATCATCTGGGAATACTAATGTGAAGGCTGAGGGATGGGGAGATGCAATCTAGTTTGATATTAGCACGTATTAATGTTTAGAACAAGTGAAGTATTGGAAGATAATGCATGCAATTTACTTTGCATAATGTAAATATATTCCCTTGTATTCTCTTCTATTCTTTTATAATTATTTAGTATTCCGCTTCAGAAATTTAAAGCTTTAATTTTTCTCTTTTCTACTTTTCTCATTTTATTTCTTTGATTTAGTACATTATCATACGATGATTCATTATGTACAGGTACATCGAATTGTGGATTATGGACACTGAAAAAACTTTCCTTGATTAAATTTTTTTTTTCAATGATAAGGGGCTTTTATTTCTTTTCTATTGTACATGTAGATAAATAAAAAAAAAAATCATAATGAACACTTGTTCTTCAAAACTTTATTGATTACAAGATCTTTAATATCTTCGAAAGAGAATATAATAAAAGTTTCTAAAAAACAGTGGCTTAACATTCTTAATTTAAGGCATATTTGAACATTTTAATCCTAACCCTTATAACCCTATAACCAACACTATTCCCTATAACTATAGAACAGCGGTAAAATTCTTTCTTATAACTAAAACAAGGTATACCTGAGAGGGTATAGACACCTGCCATAGCCCTGTAACCATATGACCCGGCATTTGTTTGGGTGACGTATTCTTTAGGAGAACGACCATTTTCGAAGTGGGTTGACAATTTCGAACTCCACGAGAGAAAGCTGTAAAGTTTTCGGTCGGTCTAGGCGATAGTATGAAGTAATCACGTGAATTATTTTGACCCAAATAAAGCCACATCGCATTGTGGATTTATCGGTCATCGTGTAACGTAACACAAAAAAGAAAAGAAAAGGGGGAAGAAGCCAAAGAACGAAACGATGGTTTTTTGTGATTCCTGGCCAATCGATTGTTTGTTTGTTTAATTTCAGATGTTTTATTCCATTAACTAACGAAATGATTTTTTTTTTTAAAAAAAAAAAAAAATCGAATAATACTTACTGTTCACGAATATTAATAAAAGTATCGTAATAAGAAAAGGAAAGGAAAAATTTAGAAAGGAGTTCCTCCAAAAAGCTGGGCCATGAACTGATCGTTTTGGTTATTTTGGTTGCCGGAAGTTAAAATTTGAGGTGGCATACGAATAATTCTATAATAAAAAGGATTATTGTATTGTTGTTTCAACAAAAATCTTCGTCGTCTTCTTTGGTTAACACAATTATTTTTTTTATTAGAGATCATTGTTATTATTATTTTGTATGAAAAAAAAAATATATATATTCGTTTGAAGGAGGAATGAGTTTTTTCCACAAAAAAAATTATCGTCTCGTCTGAAGGGGAGTGAGTGTATTTAAAGAAAAATTTTAATTCGGTGATATGTATGTATTTACAATATATTAAAATATCTATTGTCAATAAAAATCAAAAAAATCAACTTTTTCCAATTTTTCTTTTTATTTAATGGTTTACGTCAAATACGTTGATAAGAATCTAACTGGAATTTGTACACTGGTATATACATTAATGAATCACCAACGCAATTTCTCGAGCCATGTGAGCCGATGACATTTACGTAATTTGCCAAACCTTAAAAAGGTACGGTTGTTTGCCGGATTCTGTATTTAGATGAAAGTTTTTGAAATCACATTTTATTCCCGTATCTTTCCGTATTCTTGTATTCTTTAATTAGTATATAACGATAATCTCAAATATAAATTTTAAAGAACATTTTTTTACAATCATCTCCGCGATTTTGGCGCAGTATGCAGATCATGTGATTATTATTATACAAAGGACCACCTCTGATTCATACAATTATGAAAGTATAGAAAAAAATTCTCAAAATTCTTTCTGAAACGACCACCCAAAAATAAATAAATATATAAATAATAAATCATGATAACTTTAAATAACGCCGTATCATAATTGGGAAATGCAAAGTTGCCTTTTCATGGTTTTTTTTTCCCCATCCCTATTTGTGATGATGTAGATGTTGTTAATATGATAAAAAAGTTTCAAATTACCAAGAAAAATTTTTTCGAAGAAAATTTTACAAAAAAAAATACGGTAGTATTAACAAATCGAAAAAAAACTTTTACGGTTTCACCAATCAAATATTATCGTGCATAGCATATCAATGTCGGACATCGGAACAACTATATGAGTAAACGGAGCTCACACAGCCATTAATTGTTGAAATTAACACTCCTTATTCAAAAAACTTATTTCACTTATGATGATGATAATTGTTCTTTAAAATATGTAAACAAATATATATTTATTCTTTATCAATCAGTGGTCATTTATTTCTTTTTTTTTTTTGTTTTTTTTCTTTTTGTATTGTTAAATACAGTTAACGTATGCCATGTCATATTGGATCCAACAAATGAAAACATTCAAATAACGAAATCTATAATAGAAAGTAGGAATTTGGTAATTATTACAAAATTTTAAGTAATATTACATATTATTACATAAATAATATTAAAAAAAAAGACATCTTGTCCTTCTGGATTTCCTCCAAACTTATGCGTATCAACAATCTTTAACAATCAAATTACGTATTTGTCGACATTTTTACCTTTTGCAATAGAAAACCTTAACCATACGCACATCGCAAATTCGATAACAATAAACCTTTTGTCAAAAAGATGGATTAATTGGATTGATTAATCACGTATAAAGGCATCGAAATCTTCTTCCTTATCAATTATTTACACTTTTTGGTTCACCTTTAAGGATTGAGTTTTCTTGAGCATGTGATCAAATCGTTTACTACGTTTGGCGTTTCAATAAAATTTCTGATAACATGACTAGACCAAATAAAGACAACAGCAAGACTTTGTTGAAAGTAATTTTGTAAAATGTGTAACCGTTTTGAAGAGTGAGGTTCATTTTCATCTTTTTGTGTTATCCCCTTTTTTTTAAAAATTTTATTGTATGTATTTAAAATATATTTTACCCTAAAAAAAATAGTTAAATTAAATATTTTTAAAGTTTTATAAAATATGTATGTAATGTATGTAATGGTAATCCTACTCATATACTCATAACATAATATACAATATATTTCTATTGTAAACGAATTTTTTTTTTTATCTTTTCGCTCAAAAGATTTTTCAGAAAATCGTACTTAGAAAAAAAGTCCAAGTTCTCCAAACCTTTGGTGATTTCTTACGGGAAAGCCTTTTCTCTTGGTTAGATATTGAAAAAAAAACATCTTCTCGTAGAACTTTTTATTTTTTTTTTGTTTATACTTCTAAAATATCTAAACCGAGGAAGATTCTTTCCTTTTTTTGATGGTATTCTTTCATTTTCCATTCGTGCTTCATTAGGGGATAATCCAACATCTAATACTCGACATGCTTATTAATGTATTTTCATATCGCACGTGTAATTGATTTTTTAGTTTAGTGTTCAACCTTGTAAAAAAACATCATTACGATACCAAATCGCCGTTCGACATAAAACAGTTTACGAAGTTTTATTTTAATTCCTTTTACAGCGTTTATTTCTATACCCTAACGTTTTTTCGATTTGTTTTTTCTTTAATTATTCGTTTATATTACTTTCTTTTTCTTTTTGGGAATAAATTTGAATAACAAATATCACCTTTTTCTTTATCACAAAAATTTTCATAAAAAAAAAATTATTCTCCTCCCCAAAAAATATAACCCTTCTTTTTTCGTAAATATTTACACGTTTCCCTAAACTAACGCCCTTTTTTTATTTTGATACTCCCTAAATATCATTTAAACATTATTTGTTTTTTTTTTTTCATTATACTAAGTGGATGAATTAATTGGAAATTTGTGTAACCATATAAATGACAAGAAGTTCATATTAATGAAATTTGAATTTTTTTAAGGAATTTTTGTTCTCTAGGCCTTCAACTACTACACTTTCATATTCTTTTTTTTTTTTACAATACAACACTTGTATGAAAAACTTATATTGAAAGCAACTTTTTCCTACTTTTTAACTATAACAACGTCGGACATGTCGCACGCAGATCATTTTCATATAAAAAAAATTTCGTGTAATTATCTATAATCGAGTTACTTTATTCATGTAAGATGGAGTGTATTGTTCAGTTGGATTTTATGTAAAATACAAAAAATCGATTTTTTAAATAAAAAAATGAATTTTTATTTTATAAAAATTTTATGATAAGAATTTTTAATAAATACTTTGAATTTTAATACAATTTGGTGGAAATAATAACTTTTATTAAAGGTAAGTAATTTATGTTCTTCTTTGAATGACACTATTAAGCTAAATAGACAATTTAATAAAAACTAAAAAAAATATATATAAGAATAAGAAAGATTATTAAATAATAAAAAAATAATATATTTTACTATTTAAAAATTTAAATATTCTATATTAATATTCTATACTAATAAGATATAAAATACTTATAGAAAAAATTTTTCATTTAGTATAATTTGTTTATAATATTTTTACATATTAAAATCAGCATATAATAGACAACTTGTTTAAAGAGATCTTCTTAAAACTACTGAACTGTTTAACTTTTAAAACTTACAAAAATGTTTTGAGAAGTAAATAAACATTTTATGTGAGAAAGAAATTCAAAAACATTAGTAATATCACATAGTTAGCTTATAACAAAGTCAAAAAAATGCAAAAAAAAGCATATAAAATTTTGTCAATCAAATTATCAACATCTATATTTGCTATAATTGATATGTAATATGTCTGGTATACAATAACCTTCAGATGCAAATTTATATAAAAACTGAATATTATTATTTAAAGAACATTATATTTTTACAATGTATAATAAAATAATATGGTTACATGATTATTTTTTTTGGTTGTTATATAAATAACAAATTATAATTATAAAAATTTCTTATCTGTACATATTACAATAATGTTATCATATCAAAATAGATATCTAGTATATACATATGAAAAATTCTATAATATAATTAAATAAATGAAAAGAAATAAAATTATGATTTTA